TATATGATATTTAAAGTTATAGAGATTATACGATGTTGTAACTTACATCCATGCTGTTTACAGACGAATTATGATACACGTGTCGTCCGAGAACGCGCAAAGATATGATCGGGTGAAGCGTAAAGGAGCGGCTTTTCTGACGAATTTATTTAAATCGAGAAAACTGGCGATAGGAATGAAGATAAACGAAGACGAAGAGACGGAACGTGCGCCCAGAGTGGAGACTCCTGGTGAGATATCATTAATCTTTTATAAAATTTCTTTAACTTTAAAAAATATCTTCAAATATACTTCAATAACACGCAAATCTGTGAAGGGTTTTTCGTTTATTAATTAATCATTGTTCTACTGACTCAAAATGCAAATACATTTCATTGGAGAAAATTGGTAAAATTCTATTGGAAAACACGAAAAATTGCTGTTAGCAATAAATTAATTTAGAAAATTTTAAAAATACAAGAATATTAAAACAGAAATAACAAATAGGACAATATATAATAACACAACATGTATACAATTTACTCATTAAAATTCTAAAAGGTCACTGCTGGTTTAAAAGATAACTTGATGATTTAAATTATGTCCAAACCATCTTTATATTATTTCATTATTTTTTTTATTATATATTATTTTATTTTGTTCCCCCAAATTTAATTATTAGCAAAATAAAAGGTCTGATAATAAATTACATACCGTAATAGAGTAATATCGAACGGTCCATGTATTTAATTAGTAAGACAAGGTTTCAAATATTAAATTATATATATATATATATATATATATTGATTCAGAAAATTATATTTTACATTTTACGACAATTTAATGAAAGCATACGTTATATACACGTGATCGATAGCATAAGCAACTACTTGCAGCAATTATTACCAACGCTTATCGTCGAAGCGGCTCGGAGAACGACAACACGATGTCGCGAATTCCGTCAACCTTGAGTGTGACAGCAGTGGACGTCGTTGTCTCTTGTCAACCGTCTCCTTCGCACTCAATCCTGACCCTGACACCCGGTAGAACACGTAACATCGATCAGGACATGGAGGCGCTTAGGCTGAGTCGTCAGGATAATCCTTTCCTACAGGTTTGATCCGATAATTACGATGCTCAATGAAAGAGATGATTTTTGCAACACTTTTCAACCTCGAATAATTTGCGAATTGTTGAAATGTAAAATAATTTAAATTTTTGCAATATTAAATTATATACTATAATTTAAGAAAAATATATGTGTATGTTTGACATTTAATTTATGGATTTCTGGAATTTTAATATTTAATATCTAAAAAAATTACTAAACAACTAATTTCTTTAGTTGTTTAAATTTCTCAATTTAAAAAAAAATTGATATAAAATATAGCAATCTCTTTTAATCCTTTAATAATGCTTTATATTGAATCCTATAATTTTGCTCCGCAATAAATCAATGTAATTGTGCAAATTTTCCTTAATCATGCAGGTATTAGCGAGTCGAGAGAGCCTCGTGGAATCGATCGAGGAGTCCGAATCCGACGATGCGATTTTGATGTCGCAGGTGAGACTCCTCACCGAATTTTTGCGGCCATGATAAAATATTAAAAATTTATTTTTACATAAAAAATGATAATAGCTTGCTTCGTTTCTCCTATCTTCATGATTTTCAGAGAAGAAAATTTTAGATTAAAAAATAAATTAAATAATCAATTTTTGGAGTTTTAATATAATTAATTGAGCACAACGAGTGGAAAAAGAACATATATATACTGGGGAAAAAAATGTTGTTGAATCAATAGCATAGTCTAATTGGAAATAATTTTGTTAATTCAACGACATCATTAATGAAACAATATATCATGCTCTTGTTTTAATAATCAAGAGTTTCGTTTCATTAATAATGTCATTGAATTAACAAAATTATTTCCAATTAGACTAGTGCTATTGATTCAACGGCATTTTTTTTTCTCAGTGTAGAACAGGTCAACTTTTTGGGAAAGAAAACATGTTTTCAGGAATATTTTTTTAAATGAAATAGTTTACATTTTTGAGACGGAAAGAGAGGCAGAGAAGAGTTTATAAAGTTCTTTTTATATTTAAAGAAGTATGAAAAGGCATATACATGTTTTCAGGAATTGGGTGATGCGGATCCACTCACACTGGCGCAGGTACACGAGCACCTGGTACGCAGTCCACCCCCGGCTTCGTGGCCCAATTCCACGGCCTTCCAGTTTCCCAATCAGGATGAAAGTACCCCAGGCAAAAATGACGTGGCACCCCTAGTCAAAAGCCCGTCAAAGACACCCTCGCATCGTGTTAACGAGCACGAACTCTCTAGGAGCGAAACTACAACCGATATTAGAGGTAAGAATTTCAACGAGGAGATTCACTGTAGTGCAGTTGAGAATTATTTAGAACAAATAAACTTTCTACTTTTTACTAAAATTAATAAGAAATCAATAGAAATTATTACAAGTATTTGTCTATAACTAAAATACTTGTCCGTTTAAATTCACGTTTATAATGATTATAAATTGATAAATTATAACTAAAATAAAAATAAATTATATATAAAGATGATATTGTTTAATAATTGATATTATAAAAATAAGAATTATGATGAAAGAATGTTTAGAGTTTAATTAATGTGATCAAGTCAATTAGTCTAAGGTAATTACTCGCAGTTACTCGTACTTAAGTAATTACTCGTTTTAAAAATTATGAATTGAAACAACCGATTAAAGTTAATTGAATTAAACATTGGAAAACATTAGAAATTTGTGCATAGGAATTTACTGTCTATTTATATTATTCGCTTATAAAAATCTTCATTTTTTTTTTTTTTAAGAAATCTAAGAAGTGCGGTAATAACGAGTTATATAAAAACGAAATACAGCGAAATATAAATGACATTGTTCAATCGAAATAACGAGGGATGCAAGCTTCTTTGCGTGTCTAAGTTAAATTAGTCGACGCGATACTATGAAAATATAGATCGGAGCTTCAGCAAATCGATTCATTCACGAGAGACACTTACGTCCGTCCTTGACATTGCACTTTAAACACGCGCGATCTCTCTCTCTCTC